TAACTTTAGAGATGCTTGTAAACTGCCCAGAGCTGTTTAAGATAGGCAGTCATACAAATGTTTTAAATAAATAAAATGGAAACGGGGGGGAGAGGGGTTTGTGTTGCAGTGCATTGGCTTGCCAGATTTTGATTTTTCTCCCCTGGGACCTCCATTTTTTAATTTTTCGCTGCCTTTTTTTCCCCACCCTCTTTTCTTTTCCTATGGTGTCTATTTGATCCTTTCCATACTTGTTGCTTAAATTGGCACTAGTATGACCTGACAACCCACCATTCCTCTTTGACAGCACAACACCAACCAAATCTAGTTCCCAGCCCAGAATATAATCAGTCTTCTGTCATCAGAAGAAGCTTTTCCTGCTTGAATCATCACAGCCCCTCTGTAGGGCAAGGTGTCAAAAATCTACGTCTCTTTGCAGCCTCTTTTTGGAGCAATGGCCAGGCTACCATTTTTAGATTGTGGCCACAAGTCTATCTAGAGTTGTGGAGACACTGCCTTCTTCTGAACATGAGCTGGTATGAACAATTATTTCTCTTCCTGTGTTTGCCCGCTGTTAGTACTGATCTCATGAGTCTTCCACACTCACCTACCCATCAAACAGGATATTTAGCTACACAGAGACACCATCATTAATGCCAGACTGCCACCTTTTCTCTTCCCACCCCCAATACTACCTACTGCACACACATGAGCAACATTCGATTGCAATACTCTCCAGAAGCGTTTATAAAGCAACAAGGCATAGAATTGAGACAACCTGAAGGGAAAAACTAAACATTTCTAAATGTCCAAAGAATCTCACTTTCAGTCATTTGCCTTAATGCAATCTAGTCAATTCACTTTCCGGTTAGGAATGTTCTTGGTTTTTTTGGCTCCCAGTCATTAGCAGTTAAGAGGTACTACTAATGAAGGAGGAATGGTTTGTGATTTGCCCAAAGCTGAAATGGTGTCTGGGTAAATCAAATGAGCTTTCTCTTCTTTGACGGCACCCTGATTCGTGCACCTTTCCTGCCAGCGGGTGACCTTGACAAAGCACAAAGGCTTTGTCTAACTAGGAGAGGAAGTGAGATGGGGATGTATTATCCCAATCACCAGTGAGGACAGCACAAGCCAGCACCAAGCTCTACAGAGAACTTACAGGATGCAGTAGATAATCCAAACAACCACATTTATGATGGTAGGGCTTTTTTGCTGACATAAAAAAGGATGAGTGAAGCTTTAAAGCAGTAATGAGGAAGTAACCTTTGTGGAAAGAGATTATTTGAAACTCCAAGCAGCCCTAAAGAAGAGAAGGAATCAGTGTTTTATTAACAGGGCAATTCTAAACTAAGAGACCATGATGTGGTGGATAACCCACCAATTTTACAAAGCCCTTGGCCCAAGGGCTGTTGCATGGGCTTCTCCTGCAAAGAAGCCTCTTGTTTATATTACATTCCCACTGAAATTAATTGGTTGGGAATTAACTATGGAAGGAGGCAGCCAGGGAGATTTTTTCCTTCATTAATTCCTACATGGAGGAAGTGGGAAATTCCAAATCGGAGGCCAGTATGGAAAATGTTCACTCCAACCAACCTGCACATTTTTATACAAATGTAAAATCCAGGAGTTAGCTTTATGCTTTATGATTAATATACTTTATAGTTTGACCCTAAGTTCAGTGTGATTTACTCCCAGGTAAGCGCATGTAGGATTTTAGCTAAGAGTTGACCAGTGAAGCCTGTATTTCCCTTCAGCATTTCACAGATTGCTCTTTGTTCAACTATATTCACAATACTGAAGAGAAATACTGTGGGTTTCCCCAGTTTCTCTATATTATCTCACTGTATAGTACTTCGTCTTACTGTAACACATAATGGTTATATGCAGGCTTAGGACTCTTATGCTTGAGAAGTCATGGAATCTGGCTTCATGTATACAGGTTTCTACAAAAATATGTTTATTGATTCTGTATATTCAGATGTTATGATCTGTCACCTTCCTATAGCACCAGCAGTTACACAGAAAAATCAAAGTTCCATACCAGACTTTATCTCAACTTTCTTGAATCCAGGTTCAGAGAGAACTGCAGAATATACTAATTATTTTTTTAAAAAAAGGTTTAAATAAAAGATCCATTTCTCAATCTATGTGTATCTAAAATACTTTTTTAATCTTGCATAAATTCACAAATAAATACAACATTGTAAATGTATTTTAAACATATTATACACTCATGTCAGTTAAATGTTTTACATAAAGGCATAGCACACCGCCTCTTACACATATATACCTTGAAAGGCAGCAATTTAATGTAATCCCCGAGAGTTGGCAATACAGTATTGCCAAGATAAATAACATGGATCAATTTCACAGATAGGCTACAAGATAAATAAATAAATAGATGCTATCACATTTTATTTGAAATAGAATTGCTTATAAAAAGAATATACAATAATTTCATTTGAATAATTATTTGATATATATTATATAACCTGTTACTTTAATTTTAAAAGAAAACATTTCTTCAATAGTGGAAGGATGCGAAAATGAATAATTTATTCAGCCATACTGAATTATGAAAGGAAGTTGCTTTCAAGACAAATTAAAAGGTGTTCGTTGCTCAGTCTCATGGCATCTGAAAAACAAAAACAAATCCAAGCTTGCAGATGTGTTCTTTTCTTTGCAATTATCAGGTCATTAAATAATTGATAAGTCTCTTATTTAACTATGTGGCCCAGGATGATCCATTGAACAAATAGAAAATAGTTGGTTCAGATTGTAATAGGGTAAGGATGGCATAGGTTTTGCAAAGTTACCTAAATATACATGTTTTTAAAAAGATGTTTTTAAAAAGGAATGTTGGAAATGAATGTTTGGCTCTATTCTGAAGAGCAAATTCTCTTCAGAAACATTTCCCCAATGTAATTGGGCAGTTATAATTGATAGGATACTATAGCTACAGTCATTTTTCCACATTTAAATGAGAATATGCTAGATGCATGTTTCTTTCTTGCAGTCTGAATAGTCATGGAGCAGACAAACTTCAGATATCTATGAAAGCAACTGGATTCACTTCTGCCACATCTGGCCTGGAGGACCAAGCTTAGCAAAAGTGACCTCCCATTCCACCTGCACGGTTCCCACCATTGCATCATAACTTCCTTGATGTCCACCATGCTATCTGCTCCACCTGGGTTTTAAAAAGGGAATGACGCTTCTCAAAACTATTTCTGCACTCCAGAGCTCAGAGAAAAGAGGAAACAAAAGGAAATTATCTCTAAATAAAACATTCTAAGGTATTGCTGAAATTGCACGAGCCGTCTGCTAGTTTTTAAAATGGCAGTAAAAGTAATGTGTGTATTGGAAATGAAATTACAGAATGACTGCATTACAAAGCTCCATACATGTTTAGGATGTATTTCTGAATTAAAATAATGCTGGTTTAGGAGTGGCGGATTTAGATTCAATGCAACATTCACTCTTTTTCCCATGAAAAGATAATTTGGATTTCAATCCTAAATCCCATTATAAGGGAGAAAGCCTAATCTGACAATAAATAGCTGTTTTTCATAAACTTCCTTTTCAACTATTTAAGGTGACTAATTCTACTATGGTAAATGAGCTTTCCCTAGCCCAGTGTTCTTATAAGTTGGATTTCAGTTCTTAGAAATGAAATCATGAAGCTGAGGTTCAGTATACCAAGAGGGCACCAGGCTGAGGAAGTCTGAACTAACAGTTACATTTTAAAGAATCATTCTCATCCTCTCTTCCCTCTACACTAAATATCCACCTAGCCAAATAACCCTTGCCATTGGTTATATGCTTACAGGAGGACAGTAATTCCTTTAAAAGAATCAGATGCAATCTTGAGTCTATTCAAATATTTGTGAAACAACATATTCATTGAGGAAACAGAATTCATATATCATTCAACTAAGGACTGATATATGAGCAACACTGTTGTTATCAAAGGAGAACTAGCATGCACTTACCATATCCCAGGAGTTATTCAGCAGATTAGATCTGTACATTTCTTCTTCGCCTACCAAAAGCTTTGGCTCCAACATTGGTAGGTACAAATGTGCTCTTGCCCACACCTCCTGATCTGCTCAGGAAATCTGCCAAACGATGGGTCACGCAAGTCGCCGTGTTACATGCTCTCTTTTGTGCTGTTACGCTGTTTTTTCAAAGAAAGAAATGAGAGTTAAGGTCTTTGATACAAGCTTCTGATTTGAACATCACCTTATTTTACAAAAGATTGCACAGTGCTGCCTGCTATCTGATCCCAGTTCTCCCCAACCCCTTGTTGGCAAAACCTCAAGAATGCCAATCTTGGGGGAGACCGGGCTATTTTATGTGATGATGAAAAAGGCTTCCAATCTTTTAGCATCCCCTGGAGTGCAAAAAAACCCAAATCATTGCCTATTCTTCCCCAACCTGGCACAATCCAGATCTGTGGGGACAGTAGCTCTTAGCTTTTCTAAGAGGCCCAAACCTTGGACTTCCAAGAATCACAGTCCTATAGCATCAGGTTGGCCAATGCCACTGCATAGGAGATGCTGGGAAGCAAGAGGAGGAGAGGGCTGTTGCCTTCATCTCCAGAGTCTACATTTCTCAGAGCCATCTGGGCATAGAAGATATCAGGACAGTGAAATAGATTGACCACAGGTATGGTCCAACTTGTTTTTTCTGCTGTTCATCTTTGACAAAAATCAGGCTTTTGAAAGTCCCATTGATTTCAATATTTAACTTGATCTAGATTGTTCTCACAATGAATACAAAAAGTATATCAATCAATGTTTTAGTTATAGGCATACTCTGTAACCTTGGATTATCATGCAATAAAATATCTTCAGGCTGTTAAGTCAATCCAAATAAGTGACTCCTTCATGAAAAAATCAAATATATAAATAGAAATATATTAAAACTCTTACCTGGAGGAGGTCAAACAGAATATTTTTAAATATAACTGAACAATATTGCTCACATTTGGAAACCAGTTGTTGCATTTCTACACTTCTGAACAGATGTGCAAAGTTCATGCTATCAAACTCTGTGAACTTTTTCACTGACTTCATTGGATTAAAGTCACCATCTTACTTATTCATCCTGTACTAAGCAGATATTTAGTGCTTTCAAAATACTCTTGTTTAAGCAACAATTACAAACATTCACAGTGTGCTCCTTATAGCTTGTGATGAAAACTCTTTAAACTTTGCTGCAAAACCCACATTAAAAAAAATTGTATAAAATAATTTATAATCAGGACCTATTCCTTATAGAAAAATAGGTTTATTGAACAGTTGCATGATCAGGCATGAAAGAGACATTTATTTATTTCATTTTTTTACAATGAGTAGCCTCAAATAAAAATTAATGCTTTATTATTATTCATAAAATAAGAATCTAAAAAAAATCCGTTGAAATTTCAAGGCAATGTTACTTATTCTGATCAATTTGGAATTTGGCTTCTGCTTTTCCCCAGCTCCCTACAACAGTGTATGTGTGTGCATTTTGTCCTTAATTTCCTAACTTGGACTTTGCTCTACTCCAAGCATTTCAGATCTAAAAGAACACAGCAAAGTTAGCAGTGAAGGTTAGATCCACATCATGCATCAAGTTAAATAAAAAAAGGAAACAAAAGAAGAAAATAAATCAAAGAGGAAACTGAGCCCATCTAGTTGCTTCCGAGGGCTTCCTCGTAGTTTGCATAGCGTTCATTTTCCAGCTCACTCAACACATTCCTTTTCTTGCCAGGCGTCCCAGCCCCGACGTCAGTACGAGGGTATGTTTGCAACTTGTGCAATTCTTGAGACAGTTTGCCCAGCACACAAGTGCTCAGGTTGGCACAACGTTTGGAAATAGGTCTATCCAAGCTGCAAAGGGGGAAAAACATGCCGAACAAAGTAACCGGGGCAGAAAAAGGAAAGAAAGAAAACACATGCGTTGTCATGCCTTATTCCTCCCCCCTCCCCGCGTTCCTCCCCACCCCCCAAAAGAACCCCTCGGAGTAAGTACTGTATTAAATACAAGCCCATCTCCACGCCGTGCCTTCAGGCGCAAGTTCCATGCAATGTCAGTCCGAAGAACTGCCTGAGCAGCGGATAGGAGGCGCAGGTGAGCCATTGCCCGGTCAAGCAAACGGGTTGGGGGGCGTTGCGATTGTTAGCAATCGGGCGGGGGGAGTGCATGCGTCGCTGAGGCTTATCCATTCCTCATGCTTCACCGGGGGAGTTCAGTAGGAAACAGCTGTAAGCCTGGGCTGGACAGGGAAGGGGGCGCTACGTGCAAGGAATGTCTTCCTTCGTCCAGTGTCAGAGAACCTTCTCCCTGTGTGCCCCCCCCCTCCCTCCTCATGCACTAAGGCGAGGGGAGAAGGGCTGAGTCCCGCGGGCTCCGTCACTTGGGAGAGGGGGGTGAGAAGGGAAGAAAACCAAGACCTACCTCTTGCTGGCCCATTTTACCAAACCCCTTTCTCTTTTCACTTCAAAGCTTTCTCGTATGTGTGTGTGTACACACACACACACACACACACACATACACATATATACTTATAAGAAATATATATACACGCATGTATATATGATACCAGAAAAAGTAACTCGTTAGTGAGTGAGCGACAAAGGTGCGCGGGAAAAGCAAGGCCGACCACCCGCAGCTCCCGCTGGCCGGAAGGCGGGAAGGGCGTCCTCGGGAGGCTGGAGAGGTCCGTCTGCCCGCCCACTGCCCACTGCCCACTGCCCACTGCCGAGGCCGCTCTGCCGCGGCTGGCACCCGGGAAGGAGACGAGGGGACGGGACGACGCTTTCGAAGCGGAGGGCTTCCTACCTATTTCCTTCGCTGGCCTGGTCCGGCTCTTCCGCTGCCATCTGGACGTATTCCTTCACCAGGGCGTTGAGTAACCTCCGAGCTTCGTAGTCCCCCAGGGCGCCTCGGTCGGTGACAGGCTCGAAGCCCGCTCTGCGTGGTGGAGACAAGCGCGCCCTGAAAGCGCCGCTTTTCCGGAGCAGCGGTTCTCCTCCCCACAGGAAACTGGGGTGGGATCAGAGGCGGGAGGGAGCGGCCTTCCCAGCCAGCCCCCGCCAGCCTTCCCCCCTCCCCCGGGGTCGGCCTGGAGCGCGACTCATCTCTCCCAAGCCAAGGGGTTATGCGGGCTGGGGGATTACGAATGACGTTGCCCGACGCATCTGGAGGGCTTCCGATGGGGAGGCTGTGCGACCAATCCATTTGCTGGCCAGGGGGAGAAAATCACAGCGCGGCATGGATTATGATTTGGTGCTTGCTTATATGCTTCCGCAATTTCTACTCCGCTTTCTACCTTCGTTCTTGCCACCTCGGCGGCGAGGCAAGTGGCGACCGAGCCGATCTTTTTATAAATTAAAAAGAAGGGTGGGAGCACTGTCCTCTAAGAGCTGGTTGGTAATCCGGGTGAATCCGCGCCTGGCGGGTGCCCTAACCCTTCTTCTTTCGCCCCTTTCCCAACCGGAGCTCCTCCCCGTCGGAGGACGTCTTCGCTTCGCGCCCCCGCCAGGAGGGAACTTCAGATACCTCTCCTCCCAAGGGCTGCAGGTAGGTCCGCTGTCGGCTGCCTCTTACCTGAGCGGGACGGCCTGGCCGTTCTCCACCTGGCAGGCCACCAAAGCGTAGACGGCGAGGAGCGAGGAGAGCTTCAGCACAGCCATAGTCCTCTCTGCAAGAAAGGCTCGCGTTCACTGAGGAGCCATATTGCACCCTTCGCGGCCCTGCCAATCCCCCTCTGCCTATGTAGGCTGCAATCCCATCGACAGGCATCCCAAATGAAGTCGATAGGATTCCCTTCTGAGTCGAGAAAGCCTAAGACTGGCTCCAAGAAACACAGCGAGGCATCCTTCCTGAGCAAATGTTATGCGCAGGACCAGGCTGGCGTAAAGTGGGAATTCTCTGAGGGTAATAAATTATCCGTTAATTATGCGCGTACAGAAGTATTTACAGAGAATTTGCCGGTCTCCAATATCCATTTAGGAATCTTCGGCAGAGTTCTATATTTACTACCGCAATTGGGCAGAAGCAAGTCGGATCGTTTGAGCCAAGAGATGAGGACCAAAAATAGAACCGTTCTTAAAGAAAACGAGTCAAAGTGGCGAGGTGTGCTTATGTTTAAAAGATAAGTGCCTCGTTTTTATCTTTCGTTTTAAACTGGGGAGGAAAAAAAACAGCTAAATATACTGAAACAAGTGATCCTCTGAAAACGTGGTTTGGCAAAGTTGAAAAATCGGGGTTTGAGTCATTTATGGACAGGAAAATAAATATATCATTTTATAAAATACAGAAATAATTGTGCACACAGAATTGTAAGCTGTCCATCACACATTGTTTCTTTGTCTCCCCTGCCCCCCCCAAACATTTCCATATATTCAACATGTTTTTTTTAAAAATACACTTCCCAATAGCATCTCCAAGAATATGTATTTCTTACACTCTTGAGTTTTCCTGTCTCAGGTCATTTTGCAAACAGTATGTCTCCGATCCCAAAGCCCCTGTGCCTGACACTCACAGGCACAGAGGTTCACCTTAAGTTCTTCCCCATTTAGACTTTTTCATGTAAAGAAGTCTATAAGGAAGTTCTGGGTGCTGCAAGAAACTACTGTCTCCGGGGAGGGGGGTGCAGACAGAAGGAAGTTTTAAAGGGTATTTTCAATTAATATGTATTACCTTGATTACAACAACCCTTAAGATTATCTTTGCTTTAAAAATGAGTTAAGTCGCACATGGAAATTAAATGCACCTTTAGTTTTTTTGTGGAAGAAAAAAGCTTTCGCGTTTGCAAAGACTCTAAATTTTGTTTTAAATTTGTAGGATGGGCATTTCCTATTATTCCCCAACATCCTAAAATATTAATTCGTATTATTTTAAAATCCAGAAAAGACGATTCTGGATGTACCAAAAACCAGGATAAGTCTGGCATCCTTGAAATGTAAAACCTATGAATGCAGGGCACTCACGGCTTTAAGGGTGCGACACTATCTATGGACCTGGGAGTAAGTCGTCCTGAAACTCAGCAAGACCTACACTAAAGAAGGCATGGCCAGGATTTCTGCTGCTGGAGTTGTAGGGCCGCTGTGAAGAGCGGAGCTAGTAGAAGAGGGCTTACCTTCAAATGCAAAGCTTCTTAAGGAAGAGTGAAACGTAGTGGAGGTTTCCTCGGCGTGATTTTCAGAGTCGTGGTGGTCTTCAATGGTCAACGACCCCCTTTTATACATATCACCAGGACAGAAGTGTGTAGGCGTTCAGCGAACACTCGCTCACCAATCAGCATCTCCTTTATCACTATAAAACCAATCCACGACTGACTACAAAACTCCAACTCCCGAATTACGTCATTCCCAGTCACTGAGTATTCCATTCACAAAAAAATTGCCAGTCATTTAGGCACATCCGATAGGTTTATTTGCATTTAGGTCACTGAACGGCTAGGGTGGGGGTGGACAGCAGGAAGGGACATATAAAACGATTAATGAAAAGTAAGGAAGATAGCCCCAAGTCATTAATAATACTTAGACCTCCCCTTGTGTTTTATCCCTCCAAGATCTCCCGTATCTTTTTGATGAATAAACTTAAAGGGCAGGTTATTTACTTATTAGAGGCGACATCTACTGCAAAAAGTGCTGCATTGCAGAAAAAGGACTTCAGCTGGCATACGTCCTTTCTCAACTTTGTATCTAGCAAGGACCACCGCAGCGGGAGACGGTCAGTAAAGAATCCCTCTTTGAACCCTAATTGCAAAGCTGGCTTCGGAGTCAGAGAGAAGCCTTGTCTTTTCCCGCAACCAGCCTTCTCGTGTGCGTGTGTGTGTTAAATTCACATGCCTTGGTATGTTCATACCTTTAATATGACCAACTAGCCTAATTACTCGGAAACGGGACTAACTGAATTCAGTTCCCAGGTATGTTTAGATTCCCACCATCATGATGGCATCGAAGAAAATAGGGAATGTCTGTTTAGAGGAGCCTGACCAACCAGATCTCCTTCCAATGTGTCGGATCACAACTCCCATCAGCCCCAGCCAGAATGAATGAGAATGGGAAGTTATGTCTGAGAGCCCTGGGCTGGGAAAGGCTGGCTTGGAATGAGAGTTGCTGAGGAGTCAGCTGCGCCCTGGCAGGGGCTTCCTTCTCCAGTTCCGTATTCTACCCATTCTTTTTTTTTTAAAGACAGCCAGCTTGAGGGCAACTCCTTGCAAATAAGAAAGACCTCAGGAAGGACTGACTTCCGAGTAAAGACTGCCCGTACACATTTTGTTGCGAGGCCTCATTTGCTAACACTGGTTTCAGAGGCAGGTGCAAAAGGCTGGGTCGCCCTGAGAACTTCCGCGCCTGGACCAAAGCAGGTGGGTAAGTGGGAGCGGCTTATTCCAACTCGGTGGAATTGTCCGCTCCTCATTTAACCCCTCGCCGCAGAGAAAGCAGCGCCTTCTCCTCCTATTCAGCTGATGCCAGGTCTTGGTGTACAAACGCATCCAGGACCAAGCACAGAAAATCGGAGACCATTTGTTCCATAGCCGATTCCTTTGGAGGACCAGGGTTCAAGTCACCAACACCCAAGTGTTTCCAGCCTCCATCTCCCTCGGCACCTGTCAGTTGGAGGACCGACACATAGGGAAACTCGTGAAGGCAATGCACGACAAAGTAATAAGCAATTAACAACTTCTTTCCTGCCAGTAGGCATTTGTCTGAGACACGGCGATAATCAACCGGCAACGGGGGAACGAGGATATGAAAAACAAAAGCAGCCTCCCCAACTAGGTGCCCTCAAGATATATTGGACTTAACCGCCCCCACCCTCCAGAAAATTCCCAATCCATTTGGCCAAGGGGAATTACGGGAGGTAACCTAATACGTCTGAAGAGTGCCGGGTTGGGGAAGGCTAGTGTAACCCCTCAAGAGCAGCCCCGACGTTTTTTGCAAAATCTTCACCCCTCCCATCTCTCGATGGAAAGCCCCAAAGCGAGGATTCCCTGGGATCGATTCCATTCTAGCAAGGCTGATTTCGGATCCACCCTTGCTTCGGGAGGGAAGCTATTCAGCATGCCCTGCTCTCTGAAAGGCTTGTCTTCTTCTTCTTTTAAAATAAGAAAAAAAGGAGAGACCCATCCTCAACCTATCGAACGGGCTAGCCTGAGCCCGTCGTCTGGTGATGGAAGGCAAAGCGGAGAGAGAAGTTACCTGCATCCTAGCTGGGGAAGCGACATAAGAAGGATCATGGTGATCCCGCAGGAGATTGATTGGGGCCTCCCCGTCCCGCCTGTCTAAAGCTCTGGGATTGGGAGAGCCTGGACGGTCACGGCCGCGTGTCTGGGATCTAGTGTAATTCACCTCTCGCTGCCAAGCGCTACGGCCGGATCGATTGTCTTAATGGGGAATTGCATTGGCAAGGACTGGGCTGGGCCGGGAGCAGCGTTCGCTCGCTCTTCCTCTCGCACTCTCTCTTGGAGCCTCTGCTTCAGGAGCCCTGGGTAGTTTTCCGCCTCCCCCCCCCCCTTTTTTCCGCACTTCTCCTATCCCCGCACCCCCCCCCCCCCCACCACTTCTGTTCCTGGGTTGAAGTAGTCACGTTCCGCCCGGCAGATCTCCAGCTGCTTCGCTAAGCGCCTGGCATTTGGAGCGCAAAGAGCAATATCCGCAGAGGAGGTGGAAAAGCCTCTCGTGGAGAGCGACAAGGGGCCAATCCATCACTCTTTAAAGGACTCTTAGTCATTGTCTAGCAGCTGTGGAGTCGTGTCTGGCGCTCGGACACCTGCTCCATCCAGGATGTTTGGATTTGCTGTCTGCGCTAGACATAACAGAGCACCCTCGGGCTCCCGCCAAAAAAAAGGAGGGAGAGTGATGAAAGATGGAAAAACCCTGTGAAGGTGTGTACTTCCCTGCGGGGGTGTTGACTCAGGAAATCGCTCCGTTTCCCTGGAGCAGGGGTTTGTGCTTACGAGCTCGCCTTGTTCCCTTTCCTATCTGCCTCAACCCAAGGAACGCTGGCTTTTCCCTCTTGAATGAAGTTGAGTTAGGATTCTTCCCTCCTTGGCCAGGAAGATGAAAACTCGGCCGTTCTCCTCGAAGGATAGGAGAGTTGGGTGGTTGGTGCATGACTAAAGGATATCGTATTTGGATAACTCGAGCTCATGCTTTTTACAATCACCGTGACAAGAGTGGGTCAAATTCTCCGCCAGTTTCTAATGCTGTTAGGTCCGGCTTCCCCTTAGCCCCGAGACACCACTACATAGAGGAGAGACCTGAGGAGCGGGAAGGGATGGTGGGGTGACCGCGGCTTTAGAGAAAGTGGCCTTGGGCGGGAAGAAAGTCAACCCAGCAGGTTGTTTGTTCTACTAAAGCGGGAAGCCTCTGGGTCTCCGCCGCCCCGGAGAATCCTCGTGAGCCCTAAGTGAAATCTGACTTCCACTGCCTTTACCAAGCGGGTCTCTTTGTCGGGAGAGGCAATGGACGGAGGTCCTAGAGGCTGCCAAGTGCCGGTCACTCCCTCCGCCACATTAAAAAGCGGGGCAAACTCCATGAGCGGGACCCTTCCTCCCAAGTGGGACGGATTGACCGGCCCCGGCAGCGGAAGACCGAATATTTGGAGGATCTTCTGGGCAGCCGAGGTGGCGGGAGACGCGGGAGACACCTCTAGCAGGCACCCCCGCGGCCGCTTCCCGGGTGACAGGCGGGCTGGGTGGGCGGGCTCCCTCGAGGGGTGACCCCGCTGCCCTGTTTTCTTTCCCCTTATTGAGAGCAGAGGCGATGTTGCTTTATTCCACCAGCTCGAAGGCATTATTCCTCTGATGGAGTTCTGGACCTGGCCTTGCTGGAACAGCCAGAGCCTCAGCTGAGCTGACAAGGGAAGGGAAGTAATTAGCTAAGTGGTTTCGCGCCGCGAGAGGAATGGCGAGGCGTTCAGCCGTTCCCCAGTTCTCTGGCAGCCTGCCTCCTTCTACACGTGGAACCTAATTTGGAACAAGCGGGCATTGCGCCTTAGGTTCCAATTCCAAACCCGTACTGACTCTGGAGAAGTCCCATTCGATGCGACCGGAATTCTCTGGCATTTCGGGCTTGCCGATTGCGACTGTCTTTGACTGCGAGAGCCAGTGCACTAATCTGAGAGTAAATTACATTGGATTCTAGACTAGCTGTTTCTAAGATCACGCTGCCTAGTCCGAGGCATACTCTCTCGAAGAGTTCCATGGAGTGGACGCCTATAATAAATTTGAATTAATAATAATAATAATAGTTTCCATGAAACAAAGTTACCTCTGAATAAATGTGCATAGGATTGAGTGCTTCTGTACAACTAAGGCTTTAAATGGTTAAATTAAAATCACCGCATTTGGAGACTACGCTTATTTACAAAAATCAGTTTGTCACAGATTTGCCGCAGATTCCCAGTGGTTGGGAAACTCACTGGTGAAAGTTGGGCCAGGTACGCCCGCTCTCAGCCCGATCCCCCTTGAATGGCTGCTTCCATGGAAGCCACCCTGAGCAGTTGAAAGAAAGGTGGAATATGCATTCAACAAGCAAACAAGGGCCCCGATGGCTCTGAGAAGGCCAGTAAAGCAGAAACTGCCATTTCACCTGGACAGCTTAAAGAAGGACAACATGGCTGGGCTTTTAAAATCTCTGCCACAAATGCAGCAGAGTTAAAACTTTTCATGGATGAATTAATGAGTTTCTTGAAGTTGCAAAAGACCATCAGAGGGAAAAGAGAGGGAGAGGGAGAGTTTCCCAGTTGAACTTGTCTGATAGATAGATAGATAGATAGATAGATAGATAGATAGATAGATAGATAGATAGATAGATAGATAATAGTGTGTGTGAGAGAGAGACTGTGTATGTATGTGTGTGTGAGTGAATGAGTAAGTGAGATGCCAATTTTTTGTGGCACATTCTCTCAGATGAATTTATTGAAACTCAGGGTTGCACTGCACTCATAGTAGAATTTAAGGAACTTTTAAACCATATCTCATATTCCTCTCCTAAACTGATAAACAATCAAGTTTTAGCATCACTGAAACTTAGATCAAAACTCACTGCAGTGTACAGAATGATCCAGCCATCACTGTAGTAATACATTAGCAATGAAATAGCTTTTACATTGCCACAGCACTTGCTTGGTGGTACTGTCAATACCGAGAGTTGGAAGTGCTTATCTGGTCAGATGACAGCTGT